CATGGGAGGTACAGACAACAAAGATGAACCCTTTTGCACATACAGTACTGCATTGTCAGTGAAGGCAAACATGGGTATATGGGGTGGATAGATGGGTGGACAGGCTGAACTTACTAGTTACTTAGTTACAATGCCTCCATACTTACTAGTAGGTATGTCTATGAAGCAGGGAGCATACCCAACACTGTGTATAGGATTGGCAGACAATGATCCTATAAGTTTATTTGTATGATCTGAATTCCCAGGTGTATAGTAGAGCTGACAAGGGGTAAGGTTGTAGTCACTTCTTGGTCATAGGCAGCTACCCAGAGGGACTGAGTAGTTGAGCCTGTGGGCTCAGGACCATAGCCACAGGAGACATGAAGCTCAATTGGCATAACATACTACACAAACACTGTTCCACCTCCTACTTTGGCGAGTAGTGACTAGGATCTTAAAAGCTTGCAAGCAGTCATCTAGATGCAGCGATGGGTCCCTCCTCACCCAGAGCAAAGAAGAATGAACAAAACCAAAGATTCATGGAAACAATTATTTCTAGTGACTGGTATACTATGTGATCTGTAGCCGTATATGACTATGAGACCAGAAGAACTAGATGATGCTCGGCTAACACTGTCAACCACTTGGAGTGCGATCTATGTAGGAGATCTTGGATAGGGAGAGAGAACTTTGTGAAACAAAAATCAAAATCATTTGGAAAAAAAAGGGAGAGGTGGGCACATTTGCTGTTCTGATAGAGCCTGGTGGAACCACTGAGACTATGGCCCCTAGCTGCCCTTCAGGCCTGGAATTAAACCCACACCTGTGGCTTCCAGCCAAACAAAAGACAGGCATATGAGTTGAACATTCATCTGAGGTAGATACACTCGTTGGAGAGATCAATCATGGGAGAAAGAAGGACTGTTTATGCACAGGGAGACAGCTTAGGGGGCAGGAGTACAATGGAGGCAAGGACACAGCGAAGAGGTAACTGTAGGGAGGAAGTAGGAGGGGAGCTGTTGCATTGTGGTAAATTATAGTCGATGTCATGAGACAAAGTGTATGTGAACTGCTGTCTGGAAAGTTAGTTTACTCTGTAAATTTTCACCCAAATCAAAATTTAAAGAAAAAAAAGATTAAGACCAAGAAAAACAATTCAAGGAGGTCCATTAAAAAAAAAAAGAAGAAAGGAAGAAAAGACCAAAACAGATATCAGAATAAACTCTGAAACTTGCCGTTGAATGGAAAGTAGCTAAAGCAAAGGGAAGAAATGATGAGATAAAACAGCTAAATAGAAGATTTCAAAGAGCAGCTTAAGAAGACAAAGTCAATTACTATAATGAAATGTGCAAAGACCTGCAGTTAGAAAACCAAAAGTCAGGAATACACTCAGCATTTCTCAAGCTGAAAGAATTGAAAAATATTTAAGCCTTGAGTTGCAATATTGAAAGTTTCTATGGGCAAAATATTGAGTGATGCAGGAAACATCAAAAGAAGATGGAAGGAATATACAGAGTCACTGTACCAAAAAGAACTGGTTGATCTTCATCCACTTCAGGCGGTGGCACATGATCAAGAAACAATGGTATTGAAGGAAGAGCTCGAAGCTGCAAAGAAAGAAGTAGTGAAAAACAAGGCTCCAGGAATTGACAGAATAACCACTGAGATATTTCAACAAATGGATACAGTGTTGGAGGCACTCACTCGGCTATGCCAGGAGATTTGGAAGACAGCAACCTGGCCAACTGACTGAAAGAGATCCATATTTGTACCCATTCCAAAGAAAGGTGATCCCAGAGAATGTGGAAATTATTGAACAATATCATCAATGTCACACGCAAGTAAAATCTTACGGAAGATAATTCAAAACCAGTTGCAGCAGTATATTGACAGAGAACTTCCAGAAATGCAAGCTGGATTCAGGAGGGGATGCAGAACAAAGGATATCACAGTCGATGTCAGAACGATCTTGGCTCAAAGTGAAGAACACCAGAAAGATGTTTACTTGTGTTTACTGACTATGCAAAAGCATTCGATTGTGTGGATCATAACAAATTATGGATAACATTGAGAAGAATGAGAATTCCAGAACACCTAATTGTACTCATGAGGAACCTGTACAAAAACCAGGAGGCTATCGTTTGAACAAAACAAGGGGACAGACACTACATTTAAAGTCAAGAAGGAACTGTGTCAAGGTTGTATCCTTTCACCATACTTATTCAATCTGTACACTGAGCAAATAATCCAAGAAGCTGGACTATATGAAGAAGAACACGGCATAAGGATTAAAAGAAGAGTCATTAACAACCTGCAATATGCTGACGACACAACTTTGCTTGCTGAAAGTGAGGATGATTTAAAACACTTACTGATGAAAATTTAAGAACACAGTCTGCAGTATGGATTACACCTCAATATAAAGAAAACAAAAATCCTCATAAGCAGCATCACCATGAATGGAGAAAAGATTGAAATTGTCAAAGACTTCATATTACTTGGCTCTACAATCAACACCAATGGAAGCAGTAGTGAAGACATCAAAAGATGTATTGCATTGGGCAAATCTGTTGCAAAAGACCTCTTTCGAGTGCTGAAGAGCAAAGATGTCTCCTTGAAGACTAAGATGCGCCTAATCCAAGCCATGATATTTTCAATTGCCTTAAATGCATGTGAGAGCTGGACAATGAATAAGGAAAACAGAAGAAGAGCTGATGCTTTTGAGTTGTGGTGTTGGTGAAGAATGCTCAAAGTATCGTGGACTGCTAACAAATCTGTCCTGGAAGATGTGCAGCTGGAGTGCTCCTTGGAAGCAAGAAATGGCCAGACTTTGTCTCACCTACACGTTTTAAGAAGGGACCATTTCCTGGAGAAGGGTATCATGCTTGGTAAAGTGAAGGGTCAATGAAAAAGTGGAAGGCCGTATACAAGATGGATTGACACAGTGGCTATAATGATGGGCTATGTATAACAGGGATTGTGGAGCTGGCACAGGACTGGGCAGTGTTTCGTTCTACTACATATAGGGTCATTATGAGTTGTAGATGACTCGATAGCACCTAACAACAACAACATTAGAGAAGCTAAGGAAAGCGTATTCTAGGAAAGAGGGAGTACGCAAATTTTTCAAAATCTAACGATAGGCTAAAGGACTGGAAAAAAAGTCTAGTAGTTTTACCAACATGGGGTTAGTAATTACATCACAGTTTCAAAAGAAATCATAATTGACAACTTGAACTTATTTTCAGGATTATGGATGATAATGATAAAAAAAAAAAGTGCCAATTATATAAAAAATAAGTAAAATTTATTGTTTTACCAGTATGTTTTTAAACAGTATTTTAGGGGTACAAATTTTCATGGAATGTATTTACATAGATGTTCTAATGGATGTAATTTTTCACAGCTATTTATAAAGGTTCTAATAAGTAGAATTATTAACGTACGCCTTTAAGAACCATCAGTATAATGTACACCTTCATTTTAATATTCCTTTAAACTTAGCTAACCTGTGTCCTGTTAAACTCTCCCAAAATGTGATTGTCCCATCAGTCCCACAAGTCATAACCCAAGCATGAGGCACTCCCTTGGCTTTTGTTCCAACACAGACAAAGGCTTCTAATCCATATCCAAGAAGAAGGCTGCAAAGAAGGTTAGCATGGTCTTCACAGTCACCCTAGAAATTAAATGAAGCAAAATTAAGTATTTATTCCTCACTGTATTTCTTCATTAAATATTTAAATATAAATTTACAACATAATGGATAAGTTTTTTCACTTTCATTCATTAATTCATGTTAAATTTAAACAATTGGGACTAAGAAAGAATATGCTAATTTTAGGATTCTCTTACAAAGTTAGTCTTTACCAATCTGCTACTCATAACATGTGCATTTCCATAAAGGACACTCAAATTTAAAAGTTTAAAAAGAACACATACACTACTGAAAAAGAATTGGTAAGATTTCCCATGAACAGACAAATAGCTATGGTTGACCAATCACACAGCAGGAAACGTCAATAAATTAAAAAATACTAAAACGTAAATTTAAAAAGTAATAGTATCTATGAATAATTTCAAACAAATACATATATAAGAAAAATTACTGGGACGAAACATAATATAATGCCATCAATGGTTATTACTTAAGTAAGTTCATGTTACTTTCATAATTAAAAAAATGAAGAATACAAAAGCAATAGGTAATATATTCTGTGAAAAGAGTTAAGATTAAAACAATTAAACAGAATGGCTACAATTATATAACTGTGTGTGTGTATGTAGGAGGACTAGAGATAAAAGCAAAAACAACTCTTGCATACTTGAGTGTTAAAATGGGGGATGATTCCTTTCCCAAAAATAGTTAGTAGCAACCACTTTTTAAAAATTATCTATAATAAAATAGCATGTTATACTTATTAAAGTGACCTTTAAAAAAGTGTAATACCCAATCTTTAATTTCTTAAGATTGTATACTTAAAAAAAATTCAAAAGAAAAAATAACAATATGCTTAAAGATGTTCAATTCAAAAACTGATTCACAGTAATATCAATAAATTGAAAGCAAATCTCAGGAGCTCTGGTAGCGTAGTGCCTAAGGCACTTCACTGCTAACCAGAAGGCTGGTGATTAAAACCCATCAGCCACTCCTCAGAAGGAAGATAGGGCAATCTACTTCTGTAGTGATACTGCCTTGGAAATCCAAGGAGGGGTCGCTATGAGTTGGGTCTGACTCGATGGCACATAACACCACCACCACCATAATAGGAAAATAGTTAAGGAGTCAACTCAAGTATATCAACTCAAGAAAACTTTATACAGTAACTAAAAGATGAAAATTACAGATTGTAACAACATATGGAAAAACATTCTTGGATAATGCTGTATTTTAAAGTAGGATGCAAAATTTTTATCATATAATTATGGTAAAATGGTACAGATGCATGGTGAAAAACACAAAAATGTAACAAGATCTGATAAACTGGGAATAGAATTATAGGTGAAGTTTCACCTTTCAAAATTTCCTTTATTATTGTGTAATGCTGTTATTGGTACAACAAAAGTATTTTAAATATTTAAATAATTTTTAAGTATCTACTTTAAGATGTGCTTTTCCTTTAAACAAATTGTTGTTGTTGTTATTTGACATCAAGTCGGACCTGACTCATAGCGACCCTTCCTTGGGTTTCTGAGGCAGTATCACTATGGAAGAAGATTGCCCAACCTTCCTTCTGAGGAGTTGCTGGTGGGTTTGAACCGCCAGCCTTCTGGTTAGCAGTCAAGTGTCTTAGGCATTATGCTACCAGAGCTCCTTAAACAAACTTAGGTAAAAAATATGTAATATTAAATCAAAGGGATGATCATTTGCTTTATAAAAAAAAAAATTATTTATATAATGATTTTAAATATATGCCATTCTTACTGTATTTGAAACTTCAATAAGAATTTTTGATTTTGGGAACTTTCTATAGCTTGGGAAGAAATCAAGTTGACTTTTATTTTTATAAGTAATGTTCAACTTCTTTTCTACTGTTTTTAAGACAATCTTTCTGACAAATTGATCTCTCATGTATATGGTTTCTTTCTCTGAAAGCTTTATCTTGTGAATACTCATACTTATTTTTGCAGCCTCAGACTAAATAAAATTACTTCAAAATAATAATACATTAAGGAGATTTTCTTTCTTTCTATCCTCTTTCAAAGGAAGTTGAATACTAAAAATAATCTTACTTGTTTATCATCATATTATCAACATATTTGGAACACGAAAGATTAGGAAACTATCTCCCCAGAAAGAAATCTTGAAGTCTTAAACCCGTCACTGTCTGTGAATGTGACCAAACAGAAACAAGAGTTTTCCTTTGTTATGTTTTTGAGGCCATTCAGGAATAGGGTTGGCCTATCCTAATCCCTTTTAAGTGTGTTTTATAAAAAGGAAAAAAAGACAGAAAGACACATACAGAAGGAACATACCATGTGAGGAACCATCTAAAAGCCAAAGAGCACCAAGAAATGCCAACGGCTGCAAGAAACTGCTGCTTCTCCTAGATCTGACAGAGCCTAACCTTGCCAATATGCTAAATTTGGACCCTGAGCCTCCCAAACTGAGAGACAGTAAATTCCTATACTTCAAAGCTACCCACTTATGGTATTTTTGCCATGGAAGCACTAGCAAACTAAGATACAAACATTTTATAATCTATAAAGTTAGTTTACTAAAATCAACTTGTATTTGAAACTAAACAAAATACCATGCAATTTCAAGATTTTTGTTCTATATTCATTTGGTACTGCCATTTTCCCCATTTACAAAACTAAGCAAATTTTAACATGAGTACAATGAAGAAACCATGGATCTTGTACTGCCACTGTATCTAATTCACTGTTTAATTTACCTTTATATCTTGGTTTCTTTATTTCTAAAATGCTAGTGAATATTAGAGTACACATAAGTCTATACCATACAGAAATCACATTAAATTAAGACACTACATGAATGAGAAAATAAAGATGTGAAGTTTATATGTATTGACATTTAAATGGTATTAAAAATGGTGAAAACAAGATTCTGACTTGTTCAAGTTGACTAATGTAAATTTTTCCTAAGTTAATTCTTCTAAAAATGTACCAAAAATTCAAAGTAACTGTAATGCACACCAGTTAATTCTATTATATACATGCAATACCTTGTTTCTACAGAGAAAGGCCAGTAGAGTGCACCACTGCTCCTGTTTACCTCCTCCTCCAATGACAGGGGCTCTTTCATAACCCAGGACATTAACAAATCTTGCTGCTTGTCTTGGAGTATCTAGAAGTCGTCCAGCTCGAAGTGGTCTAACATAGGAACAGACTGGTCTATTTATTCCATTTTCATCCTAGCAGACAAAGAGGGGAAAAACATTATCTGCAGTGAAAGATTAATTGTCTCTAATTTTAACAAAGGCGCTCTGGTAGCATAGTGCCTAAGGTACTTGAGTGCTAACCAGAAGGCTGGTGGTTCAAACCCACCAGCCACTCCTCGGAAGGAAAGTTGGGCAATGTACTTTCATAGTGATATCGCCTTGGAAACCCAAGGAGGGGTCAGGTCACTATGAGTTGGGTCCGACTCAATGGCACATAACAACAATTTTAACAAATCTTTTCTTAAATACATGAATATAAAGTAATCCTTGAGATCACTTACTAAGTGATTACCTTGCATCTAACACCAGGCTTTTCAGTAGTATACACGTCTTTTCTCTTTTAATCCTCATAACATTGCTATAGTCACTTCACAGATGACTAAATAGCTGCAGCTATAATGAAACAGCCAGGATTCAACCCAGATCTACATCAATCCATCAGCTGGACCTCCTCTGAGAAAGCATGGGTAGGAGGGACACGAGATGGAGCAGAGAACTCACCCTTGGTACTCTTTCATACTGTCATACAGAATTTAAATATATTTATGTGACCAAAGCCATGGTATTTTCAATTGGCTCATATGCATGCGAAAGCTGGATAATGAATAAGGAAGACTGAAGAATTAATGCTTTTGAATTACAATGCTGACAAAGAATACTGAATATAACATGGACTGCCAGAAGAACGAACATATCTATCTTAGAAGAAGTAAGCTGGAATGTTCCTTAAATGTGTGGATGGTAAGACTGTTTCATGTACTTAGAATATGTTATTAGGAAGGACCAGTCTGTGGAGAAAGGACATCATGTTTAGTAGAGGATCAGCAAAAAAGGAAGACCCTCAACAAGACAGACTGACAAAGCAGCTGCAATAATGGACTCACGCATGGCAGTCATTGAGGATGGTGCAGAACCAGGTAATGTTTTGTTCTGTTTTATACAGGGTCACTATTAGTCAGAACCAATTATATCCAGAAAGAACAACTTTTCTAATTGACTGACATGACAACAATGATCAGTGCTCATTTGTAGTTAGTTTCCATTATGGTATGCACTCAAGACATCTACAGGAAACAATGATTTATTAATCAAGTCAATTGAAAGCAGTTATGAAACTATGATAGGAAAACATTTTATACTCCAAATAATGCATCCTAGCACTTGTGCTAATAACAGTTACACATATAAAAATCTTTGATGACTGCTAAACCACCATGCTTTTAGAGTTATTATTACCAAAGTCTGTACTTTCCTTAACTGAGACAGCAAAGTGAAAAAACTACACACTATTCAAAGTTGGGTGGCACAAATGGTGTGCACTTACCTAATCTAAAGGTTGGTGGTTTGAATCCTCCCAGCAGCACCATGAAGAAAGCCTGGGATCTGCTTCCATAAAGATTACAGCAAAAAAAAAAAAAAAAACCCTAAGGAGCTCTGGTAGCATAGTGGCTAAGGCATGTGACTGCTAACCAGAAGGCTGACAGTTCAAACCCACCAGCCACTCCTCAGAAGGAAGATGGGGCAATCTACTTCTGTAGTGATACTGCCTCGGAAACCCGAGGAGGGGTCGCTGAGTCAGGTCCGACTCAACGGCACATAACAACAACAACAACAACATGGAGTAGTTTTACTTTGACACATGGGGTAGTCACGAGTTGGAATAGATCCAAAAGTAACAGACTTGGGCGGGTTTTTTACTTTTTTGGTTTATTCTGGCTGGGCTCCTTAGGAAGAAAGACCTAACTCTGCCAACAGAAACACACCTATTTGAATGATCAGAATCACTGACGACTTTCCCTCCACAGCAAAAAATACCGCCTTTCCAATATAATCCTGTATCTTAGCAAGAAAAACTTACCAAGCATTTACTTCTGATTATTTAAAAAAAAAAAAAAAAAAACCTCATTGCTTTCCTATACATCATTTAGTATTGCTAATAATCTGGTAGAGTATGAGAATATTAAGTCTTGAAATTGCAATCTGAACATTAAAAACAGTATCTTCAATCCATATGTGATTTAACATTCTTAAAATGTAGTATTTTGTTTTTAATTTTTTATTGTGCTTTAGGTGAAAGTTCACAGAGCAAATTAGTTTCCCATTCAATAGTTTGTACATAAAACTATTCCATGACATTGGTTGTATTCTCCACAATGTGTCAGTACTCTCCCTATTTGTGCCCTGGATTGCGTGTTTCCTTTCATCCAAATTTTCTACTCCTTCCTGCCTTCTCTCATCTTTCCTTCATTTTACCTCACATCATTCATTGTGGTAAGGAACACATCCCTCTCAGGTACTATTTTATGGGCCTGTCTATTGTTTGGATAAAAGATGGTCCCCGTGAATGGCTTTAGTTCCAGGTCGGAACAGTGTCTTAGAGCCATAGTCAGAAGGGTTCCCCAGCCTCTGTCACTCTGGACTTTTCTGTGAATTTAATTTTTTGTTCTATTTTTTTCTCCCATTCTGTCCAGGATCCTCTTTTGTGATCTCAGTCAGAGTGGTCGGTAGTGTTAGGCAGGCACCAACTAGTTGTTCTGGTCCCAGGGTCAAGTAGGCTGTAGTGTATGTGGTCCATTCATCCTTTGGACTAACTGATCCCATGAATCTTTGGTTTTCTTCATTCTCCTTTCTTCTGGATGGGAAAAGACCCAATACTTTTATCTTAGATGGCCATTTGCAAGGATTTAGGATCCCATATGCTATTCATATGGTCTTTTTTATGATTTTGAGTTTTCCATTTAACACTGTCTTTAAGAACTATGTTGTGCTGAGTTATGGTAAGATGGCAGAATAGACAGAAAGACTGCATAGACCCTCTTCAACAAAGAAAAGGAGAACCAAATAACACAGCTACAGAAGATAATCCTGGACCCCTGAGCCTTACAGTGGACTAAACTCCAACTAGCAGAAGAATTTGCATGAATACATCAAAAAAGGAGACATACGGAGCTACGGTCTGGCAGCAATCCTGATGGCAGAGACAGCTTGGATATTGCCGAGTGGTGGTAGGATCTAAGAATTAACCTAAGAATTGGCCCTGTAAGAAAGGGACTACATAGAGGACTGCACTGGTGGCTGGGGAATAAAAGAGAAAGCAGTGAAGAGGAAGGCAGGCTGAGCTATGGACTTTTGTCTGTCCGGAGGGCACAGCCATTTTGAATGTTTACAAGCGGCTTGACCATTTTAGATATTTAAAGCAACAGAGTTCTTCCAGATGCCAGGGATTTAAGAACAGGCCCCACTTGCTGGGAATCCCAAGGACATTCTGGACTGAGATAACTGGAAAGGTGCTACATTCCCTCTGTTACTCTTATACCCCAGACCCTCTTGCTGAACGGAGGTGCAGCCATCCTTCACTCCCACCCACATTCTGGGCCAGCAGGAATTCCATTTGAGTCCTTGTGCTCAGACGGAACATGGATGCCCTGCCCTGATCTTTTTTTCTTTTTTCTGTTTTTTAGTTGTTTTTGCCTCTTTTAAAACTACTACTATTATTATTACTCTTGTCCCTCTTACTATACTTTTTTATTCTTCCCCTCCCAGGTTCTAGTTTTCAGCTTTTGTTCTTTTCCCTGTTCCTGGTTGCAATTATTATTTTGTTGTTGTTCTTTCCCATGGTAAACCCTGTTCCTTGCTTCTCTTTATGCATTTATCCCATTTTTTCTTCATTATTCTCCTTCTCTACCTTTTTTCTCTTATTGCCTTCTCCCCAGATATCACAGGTTTTTCTTTTTTCATTTACTGTTCCTGTGTGATTACATGGTGTATTTTTTGGTCCATCGGCTTTTACTTTTTTGATGGCTATTCAATTGTTCTTTTTGTCTAATGGGGTGGAAGACAGCAACAGTCCCCATACGAAACAACTACATCCACATCTTCTGCAGCTTGACTTACTGAGTGAGAGCCACAACCTCCTTCTCCACCAATGGGCCAATTATAAACAACCACCAAAAAGAACCTGACTCACTCTTGCCTGCTCTCCACAAACAGTTAACAGAATCTAAAAATAACAATGCCACAATGTCTCGGAGACAACAGACCATCACAGTCCACACAAAGAAGCAGGATAAAGTGCTGGAAAGTAGGGAGCAGGATACAGACCCAGAACACATCCCTGAAAAAGAAGCAGCACTGGAACTCTCTGATAAGGAATTCAAAAGAATTATATTTAGGTATCTTCAAAGGATTGAAAGATAGACAAAGGAAAACACAGAAAAAAATCTAGAAGAATTCTGGAAGAAAATACAAGAACAAAATGACAAAATTAAAAAAAAAAATCAGAAATGACTCTAAATCCACAGATAGAAACCCAGAAGATTAACATTAAATTGTCAGAAATAGATAGATAACACATTGGAAGGGCAAATGAGCAGCACTGATGCAATGGAAGGCAGAATTAATGAGATTGAAGACAACTATTTGAATACTTCTATGGAAAGGGATCAATCAGAAAATAGATCAAAACAAAATGAAGAAAGCCTAAGATTCATGTGGGATACCATCAACAGGAAGAGAAAAATAAAACCACTGAGAAAATTGTCCAAAATTTGTTGGAGGAGAGCTTCCCTGATATGATGAAAGATGAGAATATATCCATCAAGGAAGTCCAGCGAATCCCAAAAAGGATAGACCCCCAAATGAAAATCACCAAGACATACCATCATCAAACTCATCAAAACCAAAGACAAAGAAAGAATCCTGAAAGCAGCACGGGGAAAACAAAAAGTTACCTACAAAGGACAGCCAGTAAGAATAACCTCTGATTTCTCAGCAGAAACCATGCAAGCAAGAAGGCAATGGGATGGTATATATAAAACCCTGAAAGAGAAAAATTTTCAAACAAGAATTACATACCTGGCAAAATTGTCCCTCAAATATGATGGTGGAATTAGGAGATTTCCAGATAAGGAGAAGCTAAGGGAATTTGTTAAAACCAGACCAACTTTACAAGAGATACTAAATGGAGTCCTTAG